GATGACTGACACATCTGCCCCCGTGTCGACCAGGAAGCGTTTGGCCGTTGATTGGTCATATAGATATAAACGGTGTATTCCTAGTGCGCCGCCACCCGCACCGTCAAGTGACGGCCCTTCTAGTTTCCCTGTTGGAAACTGCAGGGTTTGGTGCATTTCAGTGCTTTTTCTTTGAATCGCTGGTGGTACCAGCATTGGCCTTCTTTCTGCGCCCCTTCGCGGCTCTTTGATCGTCTCCGGCGGTTCGTGGATCTTTCTCTAGCTTGGGATCTATCCCTACCTTCCAGTCGTTCCAGGCGGGAGGAGATATCTAAAAGTAACGTCTGTAGCGTTTGGTCTCCCTGAGAGACTGCTTGTACGGAAACGGGACTATCGGCTGCAGCTATTATACCATCCGCCATCTCTGCCAGTTTGTCGAGGCTGTCGTTCGAGATGGCCAGGATCTGCTGGACGTTAGATGGTAAACGTTGTAAGAACAGCGACTTTAGCAGGTCATCACCTATGTGCGCTGACGCCTTGCTACGCATTTCTAACAGCAGTCTGGATGGCTTCTTGTCCCCAAGCTGCATTCCCGAAATTAAGTCTTTAAGCCTTTGCGCCTCACTGTCGGCATATTGTCGGCACAGACGGGCTTTAAGAGCCTCGTACGGCTTGTCCACTGGGGGGTTTAGAATAATATCGGCTACGACTGCTAACTCCTCGGGCTGGAGTGCCGAAACCACATGATGGAATTTCGTTACTTCCATGGTGATTCCCGCTAGTGAGAATTGTGATTCCATTTGTTTGAACCAAATTTCTGGGTTCGCTCTCCAAAAGGGAGGTGGTTTAACAGAAACTTTGGCGATTGTCCCTGATTGCGAGGGTTCCATTTCTTCTTGGGGGTACCGCTCGAGAAAACCAAAAAAAAAGTTCGTACTTACAATTGCGAAAAGAAACTTTTGTTGCGACGATCCGTGTGCCTTTATGCTTCGAGCGTTAGGGTTAGCGAGACACGTGGTCGAATAATCCACAAAATCAAGTATTTTGCTGGATAAAATTGTATCCTCACTTTAAATCTGTCCCCTCGATGCTGTAGCTGTCCACTTCCGTACAATCCGTGTGCGATGTTCTTCGATGCTAGCGGATTGTAGCTGCTCGGTCCAAGCTCCTGAGATTTGCACGTGTTCGTCTTTTGTTCGGGTCACCAATGTCGGGATCACCAATGTCGGGTTGATCCCAACTTACCGATTAAAGTAAAAGGGCCTAAAAGTTTGACGATGGTGTTTGGAATGTCGAGCGTGATTCCACCGACTATCCAAACACCATTGTCAAACTTTTAGGCTTACGGGAAAGCGGCGCCGAACGTCACACGTACACGTTTACACGTTTAAAACGTGCGCCTCAACCTCTCTAATGTTGTTCTCTGTAATAGATAAGAGCTGAGCCATCCACCATTTACCTGTTTATTTGTATTATTGTCATTGAAAAAAGTTATTTTCTCGTTTATTATTTTTGCATTTAATATCTTATCTGTATCAACGAGGATGTTTGTTTGTTTGCTATTCATTTCTAAGCCGTTAGACCAATTACTCTGAAACTCGGATGTTACGTTAATATATATCAAACTCAGATAATATCGTACATTCCACCCCAAAATATTGATTGAATTTTATGTATCAATTAATTTCTTCCTACATCTGACTTGCTAGCTTTACGTGTAGCGCCATCTGTTGAAAACTAATTAAAAAAAAAAAAAATAAATAAATATAATTCATACAAAACAGGATATAATTTTTAAAAAAGTATTATATTCACTTGATTACTGCAATAATGATATAGCGCTTGTACTTATATTTATTTTTTAAATTATTTTCTCTACCAAGTATGATTATCAGAAAAACTCGGTTATACGAAATTCTCTTGTCCCGATTATTTCGGATAATTGACTATCTACAGAAATTTAAGCACCACTAAAAGCACAATAAACTTTCTTCAATGGAAAATGCTTATATCTATCATCTAATAATGTTTAAAACTTTATGAAAAACTTAATTTCTCAACATTTATTTACATGTTATTTTTAGATTTGGGCAGAAGAATGCAAAGACTCTCCTATTCTGACTTTTAAGTAGGTTGTAACGTTAAAATTTATATATTATTATAACGAAATAAATGCGATGTTGAATAAATTAAGTTGAACTTATTTGTATTAGGAATGATGAATATTCAATTAACGATGCTTGCTGGAATTCATTTTGCCCATCCGTTTTCTTCGCTGCGAAAGACAATGGAATAATTGAGACATGGAATATTTTAACAAGTCATTCAGAACCTTTTTCTAAAATAAAAGTAATATACTTTGACCACTAATATATTATTTTAATAATTATCTTAATGGTATATTTTTCTTAAAAGGTAACAGAAGAAGGATTACAGACATTACGTCTAAATGAAAAAAATAAATTGTTAGCAGCAGGTTCTAAGAAAGGAAAGATTGTCCTGATTGCATTGGCTGAAGATTTAAAAAAACCACATAAAACTGACAAGACTCTTCTATCAAATGTAAATAATGAAACGTTCATTAAGTTTCTTTGTTTGTCTTCAAATTTTGCAATTTAAATTTCTCCCAATTCTAATTTATATATCGTATTTTCCCGAAAATAAGATCTAATGCGTTTTTTGGAGCAAAAATTAATATGACCCGGTCTTATTTTTGGGAAAACACGGTAGAAGGCTGAAACTTTGAGGGTTTATCTCAGTCCTCTGACAATGCATTAATGATGTTTTACGGGGTGGTCCCACCCACACCAGCCCCTCGTCTCCTCCGAAACCCGATAACTAAATGTAAAATTTAATTGTGATGTATGTGTGTGTAAATGCATTGTAATGATGTATATGATTGGAGTGGGACCACCACAATTCAATAAAACATATTCAAACAATATCATTTTTCCATATTCAATAAAAGCGTTCTAATTTTTTAATATTTAAAAATATATTACATATTTTTTCTTCTGAATTTATTTTTTTAACGACAATTTATATTTAAAAGATGTTTGAAAGAGAATTATCTCATTGTAATTGATTGCATTAGTTATTTGAATGTCTATTAATTTTAATATAAATTATTAATGTTTTTTTGGTAATATTTTTGCAGCCCACGAAATTTATGATTGGTACCGAAGAAGGGATGATTTTCATAGGAAATAGAAAGGGTAAAAGTTTATCTGATAAAGTGGGAACTATGTATAAACAGGAATTTGGTTCTGTTCGAGCTCTCCAACGAAACTATTTTATTTCCAAAGTATTTCTTAGCGCACACAATCGAAGCGTAAAGGTATCGTCTATTTATAATTTATAATTATAAATAAGTAATTTCGATGGGATGTTTAATTAATACAATTAAATTATTTTAATACATTAATTATAACGTAATAATTTTTACACGATTTTTTAAAAAATAAATCTCTGGCATCCTTTCAAAACTATAGTTAAACATCGTGGCTTTTAACTAATAAAGAAATATTTTTGTTAAGGAGACTTTGTTTATTAATTTTCTAAAATCAGTTTTCTACATTTTTTATCTGTAGTGAAAAGCCAATTTGAAAATAAATGCGAGTTATACAATAATACAACTTACCTGTGTTTTAACTGGAAATTGTGAATGCATCCGACAGTTTTTCCTATGTCTAAATTTATGAAATTCATGAAAGCTGACTTTTTGGTAATCTCTTCTCTGTCCTCTTTTCTGTTTTTACAATAACTCTTACGGCCGTGTTTACAACTAAGGAGAAAGAATTAGAGTTTGAAGATAATCAATCATTATTGACTTTACTTTAATAGTGAACACATATTGAATAACTTCTAACTTTAACTCTTGATCCTTGTTTGTGAATATGGACATTGGAAAGCTATTTATCGATAGAAAATGACTGGAGATTTTATAATAGAGAGGTTGAGGCGCACGTTTTAAACGTGTAAACGTGTACGTGTGACGTTCGGCGCCGCTTTCTCGTAAGCCTAAAAGTTTGACGATGGTGTTTGGAATGTCGAGCGTGATTCCACCGACTATCCAAACACCATTGTCAAACTTTTAGGCTTACGGGAAAGCGGCGCCGAACGTCACACGTACACGTTTACACGTTTAAAACGTGCGCCTCAACCTCTCTAATGTTGTTCTCTGTAATAGATAAGAGCTGAGCCATCCACCATTTACCTGTTTATTTGTATTATTGTCATTGAAAAAAGTTATTTTCTCGTTTATTATTTTTGCATTTAATATCTTATCTGTATCAACGAGGATGTTTGTTTGTTTGTTTGTTTGCTATTCATTTCTAAGCCGTTAGACCAATTACTCTGAAACTCGGATGTTACGTTAATATATATCAAACTCAGATAATATCGTACATTCTCCCCCCCAAAATATTGATTGAATTTTATGTATCAATTAATTTCTTCCTACATCTGACTTGCTAGCTTTACGTGTAGCGCCATCTGTTGAAAACTAATTAAAAAAAAAAAAAATAAATAAATATAATTCATACAAAACAGGATATAATTTTTAAAAAAGTATTATATTCACTTGATTACTGCAATAATGATATAGCGCTTGTACTTATATTTATTTTTTAAATTATTTTCTCTACCAAGTATGATTATCAGAAAAACTCGGTTATACGAAATTCTCTTGTCCCGATTATTTCGGATAATTGACTATCTACAGAAATTTAAGCACCACTAAAAGCACAATAAACTTTCTTCAATGGAAAATGCTTATATCTATCATCTAATAATGTTTAAAACTTTATGAAAAACTTAATTTCTCAACATTTATTTACATGTTATTTTTAGATTTGGGCAGAAGAATGCAAAGACTCTCCTATTCTGACTTTTAAGTAGGTTGTAACGTTAAAATTTATATATTATTATAACGAAATAAATGCGATGTTGAATAAATTAAGTTGAACTTATTTGTATTAGGAATGATGAATATTCAATTAACGATGCTTGCTGGAATTCATTTTGCCCATCCGTTTTCTTCGCTGCGAAAGACAATGGAATAATTGAGACATGGAATATTTTAACAAGTCATTCAGAACCTTTTTCTAAAATAAAAGTAATATACTTTGACCACTAATATATTATTTTAATAATTATCTTAATGGTATATTTTTCTTAAAAGGTAACAGAAGAAGGATTACAGACATTACGTCTAAATGAAAAAAATAAATTGTTAGCAGCAGGTTCTAAGAAAGGAAAGATTGTCCTGATTGCATTGGCTGAAGATTTAAAAAAACCACATAAAACTGACAAGACTCTTCTATCAAATGTAAATAATGCAACGTTCATTAAGTTTTTTTGTTTGTCTTCAAATTTTGCAATTTAAATTTCTCCCAATTCTAATTTAGATACCGTATTTTCCCGAAAATAAGATCTAATGCGTTTTTTGGAGCAAAAATTAATATGACCCGGTCTTATTTTTGGGGAAACACGGTAGAAGGCTAACAAACACTTTGAGGATTTATCTCAGTCCTCTGACAATGCATTAATGATGTTTTACGGGGTGGTCCCATCCACACCATCCCCTCGTCTCCTCCGAAACCCGATAACAACTAAATGTAAAATTTAATTGTGATGTATGTGTGTGTAAATGCATTGTAATGATGTATATGATTGGAGTGGGACCACCATAATCTCGAAAAACATATTCAATAAAAGCGTTCTAATTTTTTAATTTTTAAAAATATATTACATATTTTTTCTTCTGAATTTATTTTTTTAACGACAATTTATATTTAAAAGATGTTTGAAAGAGAAATTCACAGGATTAAAATACTAGAAGCTCGTCAACGTGAATTGAAGGTGAAAGCAAAAGCGGATGTCCACGAGGAAAAAGAATTAAAATTAGAAATGGCTCCAAGCGAAATCATCGATGAATACGATAAAATCATTAACAAAGAATACGAAAATTTATATGAAGATTATCAGAAACATTCTAAAGAAGAACGTTTTAAAATTAATAAATTTGAATTAGAGGTAAATTTTAAAGAGTAATATTTTTTACTTTATATTCGAAACCATGATATCTTACTTTTAATGATAAGAATACTTGGCTACTAATTCAGGATATGACGTGTCTTATCACTTAAAAAAGCGATATACAATACGTTTTCTCATATGCAGATCATATTCTACTTTTTGCTGATTTTCAGATAAATCTTCAGTTGAAGCTTAATTGTTTTACTAGTTTTTGTCCAAAATTGTATTGAAATTAATGAAATCAAAGATTTTAAGTTCTCATAAAGGAGCGAAACCTCTAAAATGATTGATTGAATGAAAAAGAAATACAGGAAATCCTCGTTAATGCGAAATTCAAGGAACGAAATAATCGTGACTTCGAATTATCGAAATTTAAATATTTCTCTACAATATGCCAAATGCCCTGTAACAGATGTAATTTATTAAGCAAACGGATTACGGCTAAGTATACAAATTAATTATATACGAACAAGCCAAAAGTCACGTTATTTCAATTCAAAAAATTTTCCCTAAAAGGAGTTATTCTGGTAAACAGTCGGATTAGGACATAACAAATTTGTTTATTAGTCCAAAAACTACTTTTTAGGTGGTTTGATAAATAAAAAGTACTTTGTACAAAGTATAAAGTTGTTCAACTTCATTTCTATATAAAATTGTTGAAATTGGATAAATCTGGTGCTGGTCCCTCTGTTTGAATGAAGTTGGGTGTTGCGGCTTCCATTAATTCGTATTGATATGGACGTTTCTAGTATAGTGTGATGTTGCTTGGATCCGATTTACTGATCTATAATCGATTGAGAAATGATAGACTGAGCTAAAAGAGCAGTTTAATTGGACAGGACAAATAAGCTGTACTGTATAATTGGTTTAGAAAGTTATATATAAAACTTTTTGTATTAGTGAGAACATATGATCTCTTATGGAAAAATGATGTAAACTACATTATTTGAATGCACAAAGTTTTTATAATTTCTCTTGATATTGGCAGTTGTAGGGATATTTGTTGTCTATCTTAAATTATTATGCTAAGACTGTGGTTTTTCAGTTAAAACTTAATAAATACTGATTAATTAATGAAATGTTTCTGATAATTAAAGTTCGTAGGAATAGATTTTGTATTTTTTAACATGTTTAAAGAGTACAAAAACTATTCCCATTTGGAAACAATTGTTAGCGAAACACTTTTTGCAGAACTACACCAGATTTGAAGCATTGGGGCAAGAATTATCTGTGGACGGTATTTATAATAAAGAATGTGAATATAAATATGTCACTGTAAACTTTTATATATTTACAAGAGTAGTAAAATTACTAAAATTAAATCTTTATTTAACGTACTAGTGTATTTATTAGGTATGTGTCTGAAATGTACGAGACAACTGGGATTTTTATACTATTACATTAACTCAATTGCAATAAGTTTTAACTAAGAAAATAAAGCGTGATAAAGATGCGATTAGAAAAAGATGTAATGGTGTGGTGATTTTTTTTTATTGTAAACATAAATAACCCGATTTCTCATTAATGTAAACGAAGTTATAGAATGTCAAAAGTTATAGAAATATAAAATGAAAATTGCCATCAAAGCAAACAAAACTGATGGATGCATAAACGAGCTTATGCCATAACAAATTGAATGATGTCTTATTTTATTTCACTTTTTCGCGTTTTGAAACAACAAATCATTTCTAATATCTAAAATGGAAAATTGCAAAAGATCTCAAATCCCAACATTTTATTTGCATTACATTTATGTCTTGTATTTTTTTTTAAATAATATTTACTTTATGATTTAATTTAAAAAAAAATAATAAATTATTTCGTACAGGATACAAAAGCACAGGAGGATGAATCGAAGTCTAGCATTACATGAAATGAATCCTCTTCAGTACAGCACAGTGGACTTGTGGACTTATTAAAACTAATAAATAAATAATTAATTTAAAATATTATAATGTTTGTATTGTGTTATAAATGTTAAACTTTTAGAGTTTCGAAAATTTAATTGTTCAATTTATAAATTTTTGTTCATTATTTGTGTATTGTTATAATAATCTAATAAGTTAAATTACATTAATTTCTTTAAAAGGATAATTGGAATTTTTTGTCTATTGGACGTATTCATTTTACATTAGATAAAACATAAATCAAAACTCTTTACCATAATTATGTAGAATAGGCCTAAAGGTGTTTATTTCTTTCTTTATTAATTAAAGTACAGATCATGTAAACATATGTTTAAATGAGTAACAGTAAGATAAAAAGGATGTCAGCATATTTATCTCTTGATAATACTTCCTGTCGAAATGACACATCATCCGTTGAGTTAGACTCACCCTAGAATTTCCACCAGAAAAATCAGGGATTAGATAATAATCTCACTTTTTATCCGATTTTACAAAATTTGGGTATGTCCAGAGTGTGGGAATTCCCAAGAAACGTTGAGATAATTATCCATGCGCGAGTCGGTTATAAATCTCTCCTCAAAAGTATTAATACTAAGGCGCGTCGGAAGAAAAGCGGTTTATATTGTAATTCATTGATTCACTTTATCCTCCGTTTGCTTACTCCCGAGTTCCTCACACGCGATTTTGAAAAAAGAATTTTTAAAGTCTAAGGGTTTGTAAAACAGCCCAGATTTAAACCCTTTTGAAAATTTATGGGCAAAGTTGAAAATGCTGGATGAGGGCATTACTAATAAAGATGAGCTCAAAGAAGTTATTAAAATTAGCTGGAATAAAATAACTTCAAAAACCTTCAATAAATTAAATAGTGCCAAGATAAATAAAAGCTATAATAAGACCAACAAAATATTAAACTTGTATTATTTTGCATATGATTCTTTTATTATTATTGTGGTTCAAATACTTTCTTCCAATACTGCTTTATGTAAAAATTTTTTTTGGAAATAATGGTTTAGATTATCATTTGAAATTAAATTAATTAACGCTTGATAACCCAATGAACAAAAATGTTTATTTTTGTTTTAAACATTACATTTTTATATTCTTGTTTAAATTAAAATATTTTATTTTCTTAAACTATGTTCGAATACATTTTTCCATAAGTTGTAGAATTCCAAAGCAACATTCAATATTTTTATAATTTTTTCCTCAAAACATTGAAAAATAAAAATTTTTAAACTTTATCCAAACTTTTGAAACTAATCCTTCTCATTCAAAGAATAACAATAGTACCGAAATGTTCTTCACACGTACTTCACAGTTCTTGCCTTAGAGTTCTACAAAAATCTGCCAGAGGGGACCAAATAGAATATAATTTTGAAGATCACCGTATTGAATCATTAAAATAAGTATTTCATTAAATCAAAGAATATCAATTAAATCACAATAATTTCATGTAGACCTACCAACGCTTTCAAGCCGAATTTCTTGCTGTCAGTTGTCATAATTTTTCGAATATAGAAATCAAAGTAAAAAACTTAAATTTCCTTCACTATTTTCTATTATCCAATCATAATAAACTTTAATCGATGTAAAAATTTCGAATCGAGTCGAATTATCAAAAGTGTGACTACTGATACCTAATAATGTCTTCCTGTGATAATCGGTTAGTTCTCCCATTAATGGTGCGCCTAAGTCTCCCTAAAAATATATTTTATGTTAATAAAAATAATATATTAATTAAAAAAGCATTTCAACAAACAGATTTATACCGATCCTAATGCAGTGGATTTACGCCAGCGAAAAAGGCATAGTTCTTTATCAGAAATAACGTAATTCTTTACTAGACAATAACTGTTTAAACGTATTAAATGAAGATAAATTTCTTGTAGTATAGAAGAAGTGCACGGTCGGTCTGAAAGAAGAAAATAAAAATACTCTTTAATTTCTTAATAAAGTCTTATTTATATCTTGAAAAGCAATAAGAGAAAAACAAGAATATTCCAGTAAGCTTACTGAATTCAAAGCATCCCCATCCTGCAGAAAATACTCCTATCCAATTTTCTGTTACATTTAAAGTTTTATGCGGAAGAGCAACAGGTCTGATAGTACCCGACTCAGTTAATGGTTCTTCAAGAAATAGTAAAGCTATGTTGTCCTCTTCTGACCAACTTATATACGATTTGTGAATGGTACAGTTTGAGAAATGAATTATAGTTCCTTCATACCTATTGACGTCTCCTATTCTTCCATGCATTAACGAAACATTTTTACTGTAAATAATATAAACATTACAATCTATATATGTAAGATTACTTGTTCTGATTGACTGACTGGTTGAGTGATTGATTCATCATCGCCCGGAGCAAACTGCTGAACCTAAAGAGGTGACATTTTGTAAACAGTTAATTAAGCTTGGTTTACACTGAGCGCGATTCGCTGGCGAAAGCGAAAAATAGAGGAAATAAGACGTCAGACATGACGTCGTTTCCGGCGAATTTTACCATTTCGCGAATCGCTTCGAAGTTCGGAACTGTGGAACTTTTTCGCTAGGGAAAAAATTTCGCCACCAATCAATTCCCTCTAGTTGTCACGTGGTTCTTGTTCTTTTCAACATGGTGACACAAGCCTCTTCTCGGTGTAAAGTAAATATAGAACAGCTTTTAGAAGAAATGGAAGCTGCTCCATTTTTATACATAAAAATGGATCGGAGTACAAAAACGTCGATTTGAAGAAAAATCGGTGGAAGTTGATTGCGGAGCGTCTTAATTTGACAGGTGAGTAAAGTTTGTTTGTACTTGTAGTTAAGCCTGCCATAAACTATTTGGTATAAAATGAACAATCAGATTTGAAGCACGTGCATTTGTAAATTATTTCTTATATAAATAAATAATTTAGGTTAGTAATAAGATTATTTGGGTGGCACAATTCTAGGGTTTTAAACATATAAAATTTGCTAAGTCAAATAATGACTCAATTCATATTTAATGATATGAGAAAAATATAAAAAACTTGAATATTAACCAAAGAGTTTAGGCAATATTTTGATAGCGATAGATTTAAATACCAAAACATTCTAAAAATATTTAACAAATGATAGGTACTAATAACAAATACTGTATTATTGTGAAACATTGAGGGATGGTTTTTTGTAATAATTAAATGTAAATTAAATTAATTAATCAGTTCCAGTTCCCCAAGAAGAACTTATAACAACCTTTTAAGTAGACTTTAAGACAAATTTAACTAGAAGTTTACAAACTTAGCATACATAAATCATTAAAAACAAAAACATACCCATATAAAGTACAGAATGGCAAAATACCACTGTACTGTACATTGAATGAATGTCTTGTAAAAGTTTAATTGTATTTTATTAAGTATTTATAAAATAATGTAAGGAAGAAACAATGCTGTTAATTTTAACTGATTATTATTTATAAATATTTTAACATGGAATTTTGTTTATCTGTTGTTATTATTTTGAAGTTGAAGAAGTAAAGAAAAAGTGAAAGAATCTGCTAGATACATATAGGAAAGAGAAAAAGCTTATAGATGAGAAAACTAGAAGTGGTGCTGGTGTGGACGACCTTCACAGTTCCAAGTGGAAATGGTTTTCTCAAATGCATCTGTTAATGAACGTATTTGATGGACAAGATGTACAATTTTCACAGTATGTAACAGAAATATATTAAATATTATAATGAATAATGATACAAGACAATAAAATGTCATTGTTAGAAACAAATATCTTTATTTTATTAGAAGTTGTAGCAATCTGTTATTAGAAAGTGAAAATTTGGAAGACGCGTGTCCTGTCCAGATGCTCTATCCAGGAAGTTCAGATTTTCAGTCTTTCAATGTAATATATTTTATTGTGTTCTATCCGAAAGTTAATATATGGTTTATATGTTAGTAAATTAATCATTATTATTAAATAATTTGATATGAGGAATGTTAAATACTCTTACATACATCAAATATTTTTCCTTTATTTATACCTGTACTCATAAGTCTACATTCATGTTTTAATTTTATTATTTGTAGTTTAAATCTGTTATTAGAAAGTGAAAATTTGGAAGACGCGTGTCCTGTCCAGATGCTCTATCCAGGAAGTTCAGATTTTCAGTCTTTCAATGTAATATATNTTATCTCAAGTTATTTAATAATAATGTTAAGTGCTCTACATACATCAAATATTTTTCCTTTAGTTTAAACCTGTATTCTTAAGTCTACATTTATGTTTTAATTTTATTATTTGTAGTTTAATTTTTTCATCTACTATGCATAGCCTATATATATATTTCATTTTATATATTTATAATTTTTAGGGATATTTCAAAAGATGTACCATGCACATCATCATCATCATCTACAGAATTCTCAACATTACCAAAGCGTCGGAAAAAAGTAAGGAACGAGATGATGTGTACAATTTAATCCAACTGACGGACACAATGGTAAACTGTCAACAAAGAGAAGATGAACTATACTATTATTGTGTCAGTTTAGCTGACAGATTGGAGTCAAAGTGGAGGTCAAAGTTGTTCCCGGGACCAAAACAAAATGACGAATTCGGACTTTAAACTTTTTGTCTTGCAGCAGAGGAATGTCATTGTTCGAGGGTTGAATGTTTATATTAACGATGAAAGTTATAAGTTGCGATCGATATTTGATTCTTTTTTCTGAATGTTATTTTAACGAGGAGGCGACAAATTTATTTTAAATACGTCGAAAATTTAGGGGGAAAATGAACTATTTGGGCTTATTCTGAGGTCGGATCTCACAGCTCTACTCTACAGAGCAATTCGTCGAATAATTCTTTGGTCATTCTAAAAAACCTAAAACGTGTTATAATAAATTTTTTGTTAGTCATATATTTTCTTACTAAAGAGAATAAAAATTAGTATAAACAGTCCTACTTAAAAAAATTCTCTTTGTCATTCAGTCTCATCTCTCGCACCAAATTAGCATGGTAACCATATAATTCTCGGTTTTTAAAAATATCTTTCACTTAACATCGCTTTTTTTTTTTAGTATCGTTTTCTCTCAATAAGCAAACAAACGCGGTTAACAACAAGATATCGGAAGCAGCCATTTTGTTTTTCGAGATGACGTTTTCACTTGCTTGCAAATGATTGGCTACTTAAAATTCGCAATCCGCTTTTCGCTTTTGGTTGTAGGGTCAATTTCGCTAAGCAAATAAAAATCGCTTTTCGCATTCGCTTTCGCCATTCGCTCAGTGTGAACTAAGCTTTAGTCGTCATTGAGTACTTAGGTGTATTGACAACATTTCAGACATTGTTATAAATATTTTAATATATTTCGATTTTTTAACCAAATGTTCGAACCGTTTTAAATTCGAATTTGTTATTGCATATTGGTTCAATTATAGAACGATTGTAAACGTTCCAGAAAATTGATCAAATTGAAAACAGTTCGTTTGATTCGCAGCAATTCTCATTATTCTCAGCGGTAGGTGTTATATAACAATTACTGTGATTGTTGAAATACTGAATATAAATGGGTGTTTGCTTGCAAAATCCTCGCGGGCGAAGTCGCGGGTAACAGCTAGGCTAACAGCGGGTAACGAGTTCGAATTTAAAACGGTTCGAACATTTGGTTAAAAAATCGAAATATATTAAAATATTTATAACAATGTCTGAAATGTTATCAATTTAATACAGCTAAGTACTCAATGAAGTACCCTCCGTGGGGAATTTCGAAAAATCCCTTCTTAGTGTGCGTTTTTATGACGTACCCTAACTGTGTACCAAATTTCACCTCTGTAGGTTCAGCGGTTTGCTCTGGGCGATGATAAATCAATCACTCAGTCATACAGTCAGAACAAGTAATTTTATATATTTAGATTTAGCGATGATATAGCTAAGATTACTTACTAAATTAAACAGCTAGCAGGTCCAATGGCCGATTTTAATGAAATTAAGGAAAACATGCATTCGTATACGCCATTATAATAAACTGCTATCTAAGATAGTGATTAAAATATTTTACAGTTTAGCAGGAATAAAGTATGTGAAATGTATATTACTCGATAATAAACTTTTATTGTTTAAATTTTAAATGATACGTACCAGAAAAGGCCATCTCGAATTCTGTACTGGGTAACCACCAATAACTCTACGCACTCTCTCTAAAAGTGTTTCAAATCAATGCTATCAGTAATTCCTATGTTAAAACTTACATAGAAATTACTGATAAAATAAAAAAAATATTAATCTGTATGTGAGATTTAAGAATTTTTTTTAAAGGTTAGTTTTGTTGGGTTGAATTGATGGTATTAGGAAACGCAACACATGGGCGATCTGTCAAGGAAGAAGTGCCGTCCAAAGTCGAAAATAAATTATGTTGGAAGAAGTTATATATTTTATAAAATTTTCAGAAATAAAAGTACTTTTTAATCTATTTTATGTATTATAAATTGTAACGGTAATAAATTATATAATTTTCCGAATAAAATAAAATAAAAGAGATTTACCTGGTGAGCATAAAAGTGAAGTTGATATTAATACAATAAAGAAGAACCTAAGAAAATTATTATACATTATTATGCTAAAACTTTGTAATTTTCAGTAAATGTTATCATCTACACACCTTTAAATAATTTAATAAAGTATAAAGAATAACATACTTTACAAATAAATATAAAAATATTCCACATAAAATTTTAAATAATTGAAAAAATTACATCAAATTTGAATCTCACCTGATTATAATGCTCTTCATATCTACAGAAAGTTGTTAAATGATTAATAATTTTCCGAAATTTAGTTTTTATTAAACATCTTTTATTATCAATAAACAGAAAAAAATATTAAATTTATTTTAAAAGTTATTAGTCCATTCTAGGATAATAGTTGTAAACAAAAGTATATTATTACTAACAATTATTTTTTAATATAAATTTTATAAATAGATAATGACAAAAGTAAATATGTTTACTGAAATATATAACAGAAAAGATTTATTAAATTCTTCAAATTATAATCAATGATATTTTGATATAGATTGTTGAGATTGTTAACAAGAGAATATTATTTTACAACGTTAAATTTTTGATAAACATTTGGTCTAACATTAAGATTGAATACGGTTAATTTTTTCAGTTTATTTAATTCATCACAATATAATTTTTTTTTGTATTAATTTAATTATTAACATTTACATACCAGTCGACTCCCCTATAACACTGATGATTTTTCCGTTTTATATGAATTCCATGTTGTACGAGTCACTTAGATTTTACAAATACTTGAGCCGTTCACAGCCTGGCACACGTATTTGTAAAATCTAAGTGACTCGTACAACATGGAATTCATATAAAACGGAATTATCAACAGTGTTATAGGG